ATCCACCATGAGAAACTGTTCTAAGATGCAGTTAACTAGAAGATTAATTGCCCTTGCTATTAAAAATGTCTCATTTCTAATATGCATTTGCCCAGCTTCAATGTCCAGCCTCTGGATCTGGTTTCACCTCCACTGGAAAGGCGTGACAGTGCTGAGCGAACCCTGCAGGGAGGTTGGGCAAGGAGGCACAGGAGAGTCCAGCAGTGGGTGTCAAGGGACAATGAAGGGGTCCCTGGCACTCTTTGGCAGGGGGCTCCTGCCCTGTGAGCCCTGGACTGGCACTCACACCCACACACAGGACTCCAAGGAGCAACCTTGGTGTGTCCAACACCCTCATCTCCACAAGTCCCACTGCCAGGAGCCACTGCAGCCCATCACCCACTCGTGGTGCTACTCTGAACCCCTCTGTTCTCTCAAACTTCCTGAAACATCAACCCCAGAGCCAATGCCCCTGCAGCAGAGAACCCAGAGACCTGCAGGCACTGGGCACCTACCCCAGCTGTCTGTGTGCAACATTCTGCATAATGAAAACCAATAACTCAGTAAATATTTTTGCTCTGCATTTGAAACAACTATGTGCAATATTCATATTTTACAGTGGTAATGAAATACTTTCTATTCCATCAGTAATTAAGGAAGATGCTAAACTGTGTAAGTAACAATTTTTATAATGTGCAGGAGAAGAGCTTACATCCAAGAGTATTTAATTGGCTAATGAGTTCACAGAACGATTTATTTTTTTCTTTATAACAAGTCATGGCACACTGGGGAACTTAAGATTACTAGGGGGAAAAATACCAATGTCTTGCCAGTATTTAAATGTGTTCACATGGATATCCAAGAAACTACACAGCAGTTAGTTCAACATACCGCCCAAGCAATCACAGACAAGCAGTCAAAGGATGTCCTGGGCAAGTTAGTAAAAACTAAAACCCAATTTAATGTGGTTTGAAAGAGGTACTTTCAAATTATTTTATGTAAGTTTTTATAAGCCTACAAGTTTGATAGAGCTAATGAGAGAGATGGGCCATGCTTAGAAACCTGTAAGTCATTTGACTAAGTTCTGCATGGCATTCTAATAAGAAAAATTAGCTGTATGCTGCAGTTAATGTCCTCAGTATAAACAGATCCAAAAGAAATTGGTGACTGAGGAGACTTATGTTACAGAAGCGTATGACAGGTGTATCTCTAGCTTTGTTCTCTTCACATATCTATGCTACATGCTATTAGCAATCAGGGAGAAATAGAAAGCAATTGCTAATAAAATTATTGGAATGGATAAAAATGAATTTTTGGGATGATGAAAGTAACAGGTGGCACTTGCTCAAGACAACCTGATCTGGCTTGCTGGAAACATCAGGCTCATGAACAACCTGGTTGGTTACATTGAAGTGCAAGGTGCAATATATAAGAATAATGGGGCTTCACTTTAAAGTCAGGGATGGTATCATGGATGTAAGAAGTTTGGAAAACATTAGAGGTTGCAACATCTGCCGTTGGAGTCCAGACCACCTGACTGGAGGGCATCACTGCTCAGGCTTCCTCCTGGGCTGCACAACTGGTCAAATCACATCAAACATGAATCCAGGGCTCCTGAGCATTTGTGTGGATCTCAAGTCCAAAACAGAACAGCCCTCACACAATCACATCACAACCCCATTTTGAGTGCTGTGCACAGCTGTCCTCCCCCCATCTCAAGGGTGCACTGCAACAGGTAAAGGCCCAGGGAAACCACGTGTGTGGAGTCAGGGCTGGCTGACAGCTTCCACACAGGAACGGTACAGCTGAATGCAATTCCAGCCCAAGTAAGGAAAGAAATAGCACAGATCTGTATAGTTTTAAATTATGTGATGAAGAGAAATGGACAGTTGTTGTCCATATATTCTTACGTGGCATCAAATGAAACGTGACAGTGACAGCAGAAAAGTAAATAGAGTGAGGTGATCAACTCACTGTGCAATTCTTGTCTCCTTGCCACAAGGGTATCAGAGTGCCCAAAGACACACAGGTCCAAAAAGTGACTGGTCAAATTTATGGCAGAAAAAAAATAATCTCTCCACAGCCAAAAAATACAAAGATGCCATTTTGACTCAAAACTACCTAAGAAGAAGGTTGCAGCTCAGGGTGGGGACAGACATGCTGGGGAAGAGCTTTTCTCTATTTGCTTTGACTGGAAATACCTTACTGTTAACCCCCATTATGGCCTCTCACTGTTCTTTTACTGAGCAACAGGAAAAATCGAGTGAGAGTCAAGCAGTTGCTTGACACTGGGATGCCTGCAGAGAGTGCTGGTTGTCTGTCAGAAGGGGACACCAGGGATGGGCAGGGCTTTGGCTGCACAGGGAGGGTCAGCAGAACCCAGTGGCTGCAGCTGGGATGGAAACTTCGGTCTAGAACTGCAATGACTCTTTCCCAGTCATATCACTTGAATGGCTGCACTGGGAATGCAACAGTGGACTCACATCTCTCCAACCAGTCCTAAGTGCATCTTGGCATGACTGCTCTGCTGACAAACCCAGGTGGATGCTGAAGCAGGAGCACCAACCTGTAGACATTCCCAACAAACCCGGGACACAGAAGCAACAAGCACCTGCCTGTGCCTGCAGCAGCTGATAAAAATACGCCAGAACCATGTGCCCCTGTGCTAACAGCCCCCAGCATCTGGTGTTCTCAGTGGAGACCTCAGCCCTCCCACTCAGGATGGTTACATTTCCCTGGCATAATTGTCCCCGCAAGTACATCCAATGCTGCATCAGGAATTTCCCTCTCAGAAACCTGAGAAAATAGCAAATCTTGTTAAATTTCTGGGATGTGCTCTGGAACATTACATCTTTTAAAATCTCTTTTTGTGAAAGTTTTTGAAAATCAATTGCTAATCAGTTAGCGTAACTGAGTTTAAGTCAGAGCATTTGCACTCAGCCTGCATCTTAGCTTGAACCTTTCTGATGGTTTCTATTTGCCCAAAGGCTGGAGTTCCCAGAAGATTTTCTGGTGAATTGGTGAGATTTGGTTCAGTTTTTTCCCCACCAGTTGCCTTGGTCATCTGTAAAATGTTCTCCCTTTTTCCTACCAGCCTCACATTCCTTGAAGACTGTTACTCAGTGGTATATCCTTATGCATAATGAAATGTGCCCTTTCAATTTTGGTAGGAGCACAGACAAGATTCAATTTCTGAAGATGTGTGGACAGGGATGGCCTGTTCCTTTCAGCCACCCACATGACCTCAGCCCTCCCAGGCACACTAGGATGCACTGTCTGCAAATCTGGTGGCTCTGAGAGGGGCCCTGGAAACATACCTGCAGCCCCACTGTGGATCCTTAGGTGCAGCAGGTGCCTGTCTGGGCCACAACAGCTTCATCTAGGAAGGACTAGGATGTGCCAGAGCTCCATCTGCTCCTGCACTTGCAGAAACCAGGTCCTCTGGGTTCATCTCTTCCCACTGGAAGAGCTGGAGCTGCCCTCATCAGCCAGAGCAGCCTTAGAATTGGTAAAAGCAGCCAACAAGACCCTAAAACAGCTATAAGTCTTAACAGTTGCTAGTAACAACTAAAAATAAAGCAAACTATTAAATTCAACCTTTCCCTGTTTTAAGGAGATATAATTATGGCTGAGCATGCATTACTGAGCACAGGTTACTGCAGGCATAGGGACAGTGTTGGAGAGAAGAATGGCATCCCTGTCCCCGTGTGCTGCTCTGCAGGCTGCCTTCAGACCAGACACCAGGTCAGGGCTAAGGCAATCCCAGATGGTTCTGTCACTAAAAAGGACAGATCTTCCTGCTTCTGTTCCTCCTTCACTCATGGATGTCATGCGGCTAAAAATGAACTCTCTAAAGTTGTGATTAGACTTTGGAAACAAGATCACTGGCCCTGATCACATAAAGAGATCACCTGAGCAGACAAGCCAGTTCAGCCAGCAGGAAGGAGGTAACTTCAGACTCTGTTCCTATACTGGTGCAAGGGAAATGCACTGCTGATCCATGGTGAGAGGGCAGGCCACCATCCATGGATTTTAAAAACTTTGGCTCCTCTGTACACTTCATCCCAGTTTTGCAGATCGTTGTGGTCACTTTGAGCCAATACCTCACCTCCCTGTCCCTGCATGTCATAAAACACATAGTTAAACCTTCCTGAGAGATAACGTCTCTATACTGCAACAGTTCCTACACAAAGGCAGGCACAAGTGCTTTCCAGGCACCTTGTGTGCACCTGCACCACACCAACACATCCCTCTCGTACCCTGTTAGCATTCCAGCTGTGGCACATCAGCAGTGGAGGCACACTGGGGACAGCATGATCAACCTCTCAGTGTGATTTTCAGCTCACCTCCTCAGAGCAGCAGGGCATGACAATAATTGAGGACACAGAGCTGTGGCCCGTGTGCCCAGAGAGGCAGGAACAGACAGCACCATTGGGTCTGTCTTCAGAGCTGCATGTTGCACATTCCTACTGTTGGCATGGCCGTGAAGAGAAGCCAGGCAGAACAAGTGCAGCAAGAGGAGGGACTCAAGCTGCTGACCTGGGTACCTCTGCCAGCCACAGCTGTGGTGCCCAAGATACTCCCTGAGCCAGAAGCAGCAATGGAGTTTGCTTACAGCAGATCTTTAAAGGATGGATAGTGCTTCCTTTGCTTTATAACTGTGTCTTGAAGTCACAAGATAAAACATTTCCCTTTACCTTGTCAAGGGTGTGGTGCAGCCCAGGCCACAGTGTGACCCTACACAGTGCTCTGGGTGCTGGTTACTCTCTGCCCAGGGGAGCAGCATTCTCAGGACACACATTCCTCCTCACCCAGCAGCGAGGTACAGCCATCCTGTCCCAGGCTCCTGAGCCAGATAACACAGACATTTTACCTTCATGAAAGGGGTTTGATTGGAACACCTACCACACATTTCCCTTGAGAAGCAGGTGGATGCACAGGTCTGAGTGCGTATCCCACCACCCATGGTGGGTGTGGTCTGTCAGGACAGTTTTCAAAGAAATGTAGAAGTCATGCTCAGGTAAGTATAAAGAGAACAGGATTTATTCTAAACACCTTTGGGTACAGACTAAGCAACTTTACTAAAGACAGCATCACAGCAATCACCCAGTGTACCAGTGCTGCCTAGTACAGGCTAGAGTATTTGGATTTGGGAGAGGGAAACTGATATCCTACTACTAAGCCTGCGATCCATGCAGTGTCATTGCTCCTTGTACCACAACATGCCCTAATTCCCATACCTCCTTTTGTTGGCCTGGAGTCTGTCTGGATTAGTATGAACAAACAGAATGCTCCAAAACAGGTGCATGGCGCAGAGTACAAGGCTGGCTGGGACTGGGACACAGCAACAGGCTTGGCACAGGGAGCTGGTGTGGCCAGGCAGGAGTGGGGTGAGGGGAAGGCGGTAGTTGGGAAAGCACAGACTGCATTGGCAGGGGTGGAACACCTGCACAGAGAGGCACAGCAGGACTGGAATTGCCACCCCTAGTAGAGAACGTCCTCAAAGCCGAGCAGCAGGAACTGGTGCAGGGCACTTGGCAGATGTAGCTGGGACAGGACCAGAAGCAGCCGGCCTTCCAGGAGGATCCTGAGAGTGCAGCGAGCCAGGTGCTGCAAGGAGCGAGGTCTGTGTCCCAGCGAGAAAAGCGACTGGTAGAAACATGGGTATTTCTACAGAGAGAAGAAAGGACCAGAGGCATGCAAAACTGAAGATATCACCCTGGGACAAGAGGTAGAACCAGACATGCACTTGCCTCACTATGGAGCATCCTCCCTGTTCCCAACAGCACCATCCCTGCGTCCTGCAACCCTGCATGGCCAGCCCCAGCTCCACCCAACCCTCTCCAGGCCCAGATACCACAGCAACCCATCAGAACCCGGACATGTGTTCTGCAGCCAGCATTTGTTCCCTTACCTGTACAACCTCTACTGGAACTGCTTCCACCCAGTCCTCAGAGACACGCACGTGGGTGTAGCTGTTCACCAGGACCTCGATGACACGCGGGCAGGTGTGGCAGTACCGCAGCACCTGGCCAGGGAGAGAGTCACGCCTTGAGAGGCCACCTGGAACAGAGGCTAGACAGTGTTAAAGGAATAAAGTAGGTATTTATTAAAAAGGTCTTCAAAGGATACACCTTGGGCAATACAAGAGCCTAGCTGAGGCTACACCCAGGATGGATGACAGGTCACAAGTCTTCACACTTTTATCAGTTTTGGTCCATTTACATATTAGGGTAAATTGTCCAATTACAGCTTCAGGTTATGAAGTCACATCCTCCAGTTTGCTCTACTCAATTTGCTGCTCTTTGTACTTTTTGGGCCTGAAGCTGCTATGGTATCCTTGGTTCTCGGGCTGGAGAAGGATTGTTGTGTCTGACTGAGCTGTGAGGAGAACTCACTAGAACTTTCTATGAAGTTCAGAGTTATATATCAATGCAGTACAGAATCTGGAAAATATGTATTGATGTACAAAACACTCACTCGCGGTGAGAGACTTCTCCAGGGTCAAGCTGTTCAGGTAGAAGCGATTTATTATATGGGTAAAGGGAGGAAAAGCCCCGTGTCCGCCACCAGCCTCGGCCTACATGTGGCCAGGGAGGAGAGAGCAAGAGAAGGGAGGGAGGTTAAAGAGAGAGGGAGGAAAATAAGAGCAAGAGAGTCTCCCTAAGCAAGGGAGGCTTAAGGGAGAGGGGGGAACAAGAGAGGAGAAAGAGGGAACACAAGAGAGTGGGGAGAATACAAGACAGCAAAGTTCCTGTTACAATCCAATACATCTTTTTCTATAGTGAATATTCTAATTCCCAGTAACCAATCACTACGAGACACACCCACTAGAAATTTACATATACCCTATAAGAACTACTATATTACCATACAGCGTTACATTTCAGACTCTGAAAGCTTTACAAATTCTTCTCTTGCTGTTTGACCTTTGGATTCTCTATCTGCAGGACATTGTTTCACCAACAGGGATTCTCCTTTAGCTGGCAAGGCTATTGTTCTTTGGATATTTATTAACTTAGTATCCCATGACTCAGAGCTAGCTCTCATTTCTACTTCGATTCTAGGCTTCATATTTTGGAATCTTTTGCTAAACAATCACATTCATAAGGTTTCCCTTTTTCATCCTTCCCAACAAATATGAAAGCTAAAACTTAAGGCATCAAGAGCAGGTGATCAGCATCATTGGGTAAAATCCTGGAAGCCCCACTGTCACCTCCTAAAGTACTGCTCAATCCAGATGTGGTGAATCTGGTGAACTCCTGTTCTTCCCTCATGCTGACCCAGCAGAGGAAAACCACTGCAAGTAGGAAGCACCAAGCATCCCTCCTTGCAAAGAGGAGGACAGAGGCATCACTCAACATGCACAGCATGGCTACCTTCAGCACAACCGGGACCCCACAGCCTCTCCTCAGACACAGGGGCCATCGTACATGGCTGGGATGATGATCTCCATCAGCTTCACTGCTGCAAGTAGCTCATAAACACCAACACTCTGCTTTACACCAGGCTCCTTTCCCTCACATTTCAGCAGTCAGAGCGTGAGCTGCTCCAGGACAGGGACTGGCACTCGTTTTGTGATCAGCCAGAGCACAGTACACCATGCCTCTGTTGAGGGCCACACCAGGGTCTCAGGGATACAGGATCGTGCCTGTTTGGTGCAGGGCTGCAGAGACATCTGCAGTGCTCTGCCCATGTCCAGGGCGGCACAGAGCCCCAGAAGGCTTCACAAGTATTTGTACAACACCTCTGGTGTGTCCCACATTTGTGTAGGTGCAGGTGACACACCAATGCCACGCACCTAGCAACAGCGCAGCCTTTGGAGCACGCCCCACCCAGGCAAAGCTGCACAGAGGCAGATTTCCCTCGCTCGGGGCTGCCACTCCCCATGGCCCAGGCCAGCAGTAGCTGTCAGAGTCTATTCTGGCTCTACCAGTGATCCTCATTATCTGGCGTTAATAGGAGATTAATTAGTGTTAATTGTTGATTTTCCTGTATTTTCCCAAAGGGGAGAGCAATCTGCTGATCTCCGGGCTGGGTAATTATTGCACTGCTCAGAAATTAAGACAGGAAATTAACCCTTTGTTTGCTGGTGTCTTGCAGAGACAGCAGGAGCTGGAGGGTGTGCCCCTGAGAAGAAACATCTTCAGAGGAAAAGGACCAACACTTTCCAAAGCAAGCAATTATGGAAGCTGGGTTAATACTGTCCACACAGCTAAGCAGACAGAAGCAGAAGAGTCCTACAGCAAAACACACCTCAGGAGAAAACATCAGGGATTCCCACACCAATAATGCCAGTTCTCCCTTCTCAGGCCCTGGGCAGAGCAGGGCAGGACAGTGAACAGGCTGCCATGGAACAAGCCCTGCTGTGACAGGAGGGCCCACGGGGGTCCTGATGTTGTTCACAGCTTTCCCCTCCCACCACACTCCTGGTACCACTAGAGCCCATCACCTTGAGGAGGGAGCCCGGCCAGATGCGGACGGCTCCGTGGTTGAGCAGCGCTCGCACCACAAGCTCCGGGCGATGCTCCAGCTTGTAGGCAGCTACCTGCAGGATGTTGTGCAGGGCCGTGTTGCCACCGTAGTTCATGACATTGACATTAGCACCCCGGGCCAGCAGTAACTCTGCAATTTGAGCATTGGCATTCTTGCAGGCCAGGTGAAGCGGGTGCTGCCGGTCCCGGTCTGCAGTGTTGATACTGGCACCGCTCTCCACCAGCAGCTGGCAGACCCGGTAGTAGCGGTCCATGTCCTGGGGCTGATGGTGCTGAGCACAGGCAGCATTCAGTGGTGTTTGCCCCTCCTTGTTCTTGACCTCCAATTCAGCCCCGTGGTGCAGAAGCAGCTGGACATGCTCTGCCAGGCCGTGCCGTGATGCCACATGAAGTGCTGTGTCGTTCTCCTCCTCCGTCTGACTGTTCACACTGGCACCATGCTGCAGCAGCTGTCGGACACACCTGTGTGGGCCAAGGTGACTTGCTGACCATTTCTCATCTCCGCCTCCCATCCTACCTCCCAGCCCCCACATCTGCACCAGCCCATAGCTTTTCCCCAGAGTCCAAAAATCCCTGCTCCTCATGCCCTGGAGCAGTGGTTTTAAGCCAGGATGACTGGTGAGCAGAGATACAGTCACCCTAATTTCAGCTAACTCTGCACAGACCTCTTAGAATGTTGCACCTGCTGCCTGCTTGCATACACAGTGGATCTGCACAGGAACACCACACCCTGAGCGTTCCAGTGTGACCACTGGCTCCTCAGCTGCATCTGCTAAGGGCATGAGCTTGCAGTCACCCATTTGACCTCAGAGACGATCCTGGTCCAGGAGCAGGCACCAAGGCCACCCCTATTCTGCACCCACCAACCCACCTTCAGGGATGAGGAGGGACCCCTCCTACATGAGATTAGGCTTGAAGGGAAGGGAGGTTTGCTGTGCCCCCACCCCAAGCAGGACTCACTCAATGGAGTCAGAGCTCTTGCAGAGGTGCAGGGGCCTGTAGCCATCCTCGGAGACAGCCTCAGGATCAGCCCCAGAGCTGAGCAGCAGGCGCACGCAGTCAGTGCTGGCAGCTGCACAAGCCTCGTGCAGGGCTGTCTTGCCCCCCGGAGCAAAGTCCACGGCAGCGCCGCGGAGCAGCAGGAGCCGCAGGCAGTCGGTGTAGCCACGGCTGGCCGTGATGTGCAGAGGTGTGGTGAGCTCCTGCTGATAGCTCAGTGACCACAGTCCTGCAGGGAAACAGAGGTCAGAGAACCAACTGCAGTCCCAGTGCACAAAGACCTGCCCTTTTCCTTGAAGTACCTCATGCACATCACCCAGAGAGACTTGTGTTTCCCCTCAAGGGATTTCAAGTCCCTTCCCTGCAAGATCCCGGCATTTGGACGGGCCCAGCAAAGGCAGAGATCCCTGGAAGGCTCTCAGGTCACACAGCCATGCAAACAGGGAGCTCCAGGGAGCAGCAGCCCACAGGCTGTTCTGGGCAGAGTGCCCTTCGCCTGTGGCTCAGGCGAGTACATGGGGGTTTCTGTTGTTGGGAGCGCAGTGGATGAAGGGTCTGGGGTGCAAGCAAGGCTGATGGCAGGGAGATGGCTGGGCCAAACACTATGTGTGAAGCCCTACAAATACAAGGAACCAGGCAGTAAGAGGTGTCAGAGCTGGCTGCCACACACAGCAGACTCAGACAAGCCCTGAGCAGGGTGCAAACAACAAGCTACAGCAGAGATGGACATCTAGGGCCTAGGAGAGAGCAAGGGACTGAAATGTGCCAACTCTCAAAGATGCTGCCACAGCACAAACCATTGCTGCTGCTGGTGTAATTTGCTGGCTAACAGCCTGCAGATGCTACAGGAAAAAAGTTCCTTAAACTGTGCTGCTTGCTGCCTACCCCGAGTGAGCTGGAGGACATCCCAGGCTGCATGGCATGTTCCACACTATATCCTCTCAGCTCCTTCTTGCAGAGGCAGTATATGGTCGTCTGTGTTTTCCAGATGGGGCCAGGCTCAAACTGAACCATCTCAAAGATCTAAATCGTGTTGTGACAGTCTGGCACAAGCCACAGTGGGAGCCGGCAGCGCGGTGCAGGCCACACACAGAGCAGGTCCCAAGCATTTAAGACAATCCCTGTGAGAGGGACTGGGTTTTCTGGATGCACCCTGTGCTCTCAGAAACAAGAACCCCCTTCCGCAAGGAACACAGAAGAACCTGACCACATCCCCATTCTCTTGTTGCCACAAGCAGCACCTGTAACACACAACCCCAGCCACAGCCATGCCCCACAGCACACACCACGGCTGAGCCCCACGTATGCTCCCCTTACTCAGCCCGCGGGGGTTGAAGCGGTAGTTCTTCCACTCTTCCAGGTCACTGGTGTCAAACAAAGCATTGGGGCTCAGGTTGTTGTGAGGATCTCTGAGGATCTCGGCTACGGTCCCCTGATCCCCAGCCAGCAGGGCCTGCCAGAACACCTGGGCAGGGCCATCCGCCTGCTGCGTGCGGATGGGCTGCTGCCTCTCCTCTCTTCTGCCTGTGATGCTGCCCATAACAACCAACCAGACCTGCCTCAGAGAGCAGGGCAGGACCTGCTGGTGCACCCCAGCCAGGCTCTGAGGCACAGCCCCACCAACAGCCTGTGTTTGGGCCGAGGGTCTGCCTGCCAGCCCAGGGTGTCCCACAGGGCGGGGGAACATGTCACACCCCACTCTTTGGCTCAGGCTGGGCACAACTCAAGTTTCAGCTGTTCTATTCTGGGAAACCTTGTGACCAAGCACTGGGGCCAAGAGGCTGATAAAGGCTCTCCACTCAGGCAGCAGTACCTTAGCAGTGCCCTGTTGCGAAGGGAAAATCCTCAGGAAGGGCAGGGGAGCTTGAAGGGTAGAAATGGGGACAGGACATCACTAAGACAACAGGGAGGGAAATGGTTTCATGCCTACTCAGCATGTTGTCCAGCGCTGCCCAGACCACGACAGCATGACCCCAGAAGCTCCACACACATCTCCAAGCCTTTGTTCACCCCTTGGCTCCACACATGTCTCCAGCACTGCACACCCATTTACCAGTTGCACCAGAGCCATTGGCACTAGGAAGGTTTTTAAACAAGGTATAGGACAGCTCTTTTTAATTAAAGCCAAAGAAATGGCAGAAATAGGTACAAGTATGAGAAAAATGATGTAATTATCCTTTAGATCCTCCCCACTTCCTTCTTTTTGATATCCAGCCTTGCACAAAGCCCCTGCACAGCTTTAGTGTTCCCTTTCAGTCCTCAGACACTGTCCTGACTCAGTTGCTCACTGCAGTCCTGTCACCTGAGATGGTGCTTTCCTCTGACCCCCACGGGCTGCACACAGCCAGCCTGCCCACCTCAGGCACAGAGGAGCATGCCCTGCTCACGTGGCATTAACACTGTGTACAGATTGTTCACACCCTGTGATCCAGAGAACATGTCAAACTGCATGGAAGGCTAGTAGAGTGCAGTCTAATTTTGTGTCACAGAACTACTCAGATCGCACAGCTGAACACCAGTTAAGGGACCCCTAGACCACCAAACAACAATCACCAGGGGACCAGAGCAGAGTGTAAGACAGGGAACTTTACCCTTCCCAGTAATGAAAATAAATGAGCAAGTCCTATGAAGACAGTATCCAGTTTGCTCTGTCTGTGCAGACTTCAGCTTATCTAACTAAAATGTAGCCTGCAAAAGGGCAAAAAAAGGGAAGCCCTTGGCAGATGTTTTCACCTGATGTGACCCTCTATTTGCCCAAGGATATAAGCAGGTATCCCATGAGAGCTTGAGGTTCCCAGGCATGCACCAGGAAGGCAGAAAGCTGTGTAAGTGTCAGTGACTTCAGGCAGTTTACAGGTCGTCTGGGCACCTTGAAATACCCAACGAGGTGATCTGGGAAAGACAAGGTCACTAGAACCTACTACTGTTAAGGTTACTGAGTCAGTTCTAGGAATCTGTCCTTACACAGTCAGTGAGATACAGAGACAAGCCTTGGATAGCATGAAGGTTTGTTTTGTTTTTTGTTCTGTATTCTTATCTGATAAACTTGGCAGCACATTTTTGCTCTGTGCTTGACGAATGATCTTGTTTAGTTGGGTTTTTCATGTCTTGGAAATTTGTTGATTAGAGAAATCTCTGCATGAGGTTGTTTTACCTTGTCTGCTCCATTTTCTCTGGGGCACAAACCTTTACAAGCAGAGAAACTGGCTGCTCCAGTGTCTGCCAGCTTAGCATAAGACAGGAGTTGTAACACCCAATTCATATTTTACTGACAAAAGGTCTCAGTTACACAAAGGGTAATTCCTTTAGTGATTTCTTTCTTAAGTAGACAGTAACAATTCAAAGCCTGGGTTATACAAATCCTGCAACTCAAGAAATAATCTTCACCACTCACAAGTAGCAGGATGTGCATCTGCAAGCCCACACACCCTGTTTGTCTCTTGCTGGAATGGATCCCCACAAGACACTGTTGTCTGACTAAGCACTAGGACACTTGGCCTGCTCATCTGGGAAAGCAGTTTCCTCAACAGCTCTTCCATTCTGGTGTGGGTGGCTTTTGCCACCAGCCCTCCTGTAGAGGAGGGTGGTACAGTTAAGAGCCTTCAGCACCTGATGCTCTTAAATTCTGGGAGACTGCCTGCACCACATCACTAATTGACAGCAGCGAGAACAAGGGCACATCCAGACTGCTCAGCACACCTCTCCCTTGAGCACACCAGCTGCATTGCTTACTGAGAAGCTCATAGATGATGTTGACCAGAAGCTGAGTAAAAGGGATCAGAGAGTGTGGAAGTATGTGTGGTAGCCCCAAAATGTGCCTGGACAAGGTACAGTGAGATGAACAGATGGAAAGAAACACCAAGAATGATCAGCTCCTGCCTCCTTACACTGAGGAAAGTTTGCTTCCACTACCTTTCTCATAGATTGGATTTCTACTCCCCTTGTCAGATCTATCTCACGGAGCAGAACAGCATTCTGATGCCTTTTCACCCACACACACCCCCCACCTCACACGTATTTCACATCCATGGCAGCAATCTCTAACAGGACAGTTCTGAGGATGTCAGGGGCCCTATTCTCATTATTTCCCAGTAGATCTGCCTCATGCCAGCTTGAGCAAGCCTGCTACTATTTGTTGTACACCCTTGGAAACTTCCTTCCTCACACTAAATCTGTTCTTCCAAGTCCTTCTTCCCTCACCCTTTTTCCACCGCTGGGGATTCCTTTCAACATTTTTCTCATGTGCTTAAGCCCTATCTTTGGACCCCATCCTGGGCATTTTCTATCCCCCCATGCCCCAGTCCCTCATACCCACCACGTTTACTGCTAGTCCAGCGCAGCACATCGCCCCTGGTCTCAATGATGAGATTGATGGCTGCACTCTTGGTGAAGTACTTCTGCACCATGGCCAGGTCTCCAGTGAAGAGTGCATTCTGGACCAGCAGATCCCGGCACTCCAGTGGCTCCAGGCGGCTCTGCTGGTATTCCCAACTGTGTGGGCTCAGGCTGTGCTCACTGTGGTGGGACCTCACACTGTGAGAATACTTCCACTGAGCTGGCTGCAGCAAATGTTGGGTGGCAGAGCAGAGAGGACGGTGATGGCAGTCCATCACAGGTAACTAACCTGAGGAGTCTGAGCCACGCAGTAAAAGAGCTATTGCAGCAAAGAGTCTCTTGTTCAAGGGTTTCTCCTTTGCAGGTTGCTCCTGGATTCCAGCTCCCCTGCATCTGGCTGGGCTCAGACACAGTCCTGAATAACCTGGTATAAATAGCCTGGCTTGGCAGCTCCTCATTGCCACCTCCCAAGAGCTTGTTTTCAGCTGCTAGGTGCAATCACCAGCACAGACTAGGCTCAGGAGAGGGGTGGCAGGCAGCCTGGAAGAGCTCTCCTTGTGCTTGTTTGCTCTGCAAAGAGCCCCTGCTCCACATGGCATTCCCACTGGGAAAGAGGCAGAGCAAGGTGGAAGCAACCATGGCAGGGAGGTAGGTGGGTGAGGGAGAGCTTGGGTAAGACCTGGATCAGACTTGGTGTCAGAAGTCATAAAGGACTAAGGACAAGGCTCTTCCCCACAGGCAACTCCACAGGGATGAAAAGACCCTCACAAGTACTACACACTGCTCTGGGAATCAGCCCCACAGGGCTGGGCAGGATACAGAAGGACAGAGGTGAGCCCTGAGAAGAGCAGCTTGTACAACACAGGTTATCCTGTCACATTGCTCCCAAACTGTGATCAAGTTCCTTGTGGTGTGGCTGGAGGTGCTGGCCAAACAGGGAGCCAGACTTTGCTTGTGTTCCTTTTGGCAGCTGTTTCCAATGCAGAGAAAACAGTTACGCAAGAACCTTGAAGCTGAAGAACATCCATGAACCAGTCCCAGGATTGGGATCATGCCAAACATTCCTGTTGCCACAGCACAGATGCTCTGTGCCAGTGAGCACCTGCAGCATCCCACTGGTGCTGGACTGGGAGCACTTTGTTTTCCTGAAGGATGCAGTGGCTGTATCTCCAGCTCCACTGTGGAATCCACATCCAAGCTTCGCAGAGTCTTCTCCAGCCAGGCGAGGGGCTCAGAATTTGGGATCTTTGAGTACAGGAAGCCTAGACTCCCTAAGAGATGAGGAAAAGGAGAAACCAAGAACTCTCAGCTCCTCTCTAACCTGTCTTTACAATTCGTGCTGTTCCTACCACTAGAACCAATACCTTCATTCTCCCACAGCTGTGGGCTTGGGAACAGAACTCCAGACTAAGCCCTTACACTCAGCACTGTTCATATACCCAAGGCCATCCAGGAAAGGCCCCTGGGAGGAACGCCCTGACTGCAGGTGTCCCCCACCCCATTACCCCCTGCATGCTGGCTGAGGGCAGGCAGTGTCTTCACACTCAGCATTTCACAGACCTGGGTCTGCTCCTGACTGTACCAGCTACCCTGGACATTTTCTCTCATTCCCACAGCTAACAACAACAACAACAAAATCTCTCAAACCACTTCAAGCAAACCAACCAACCCAAAACTACAAACAAAAAACCCGACAACAACAACAAAAAAAACCCAAAAAACAAGAAAACAAACAAACACAAACAAAACCCAAACCCACAAAACACAAGCAGCCATCTTCAGCATCTCCAAGCCCACAGATACCAAGTAGGAAAGTCCACAGGGACATTGAGGGCACTGAGAGCCCTCAGCTGCAGGCAGAGAGAAGGGTGTCAGAGCCATCCATTTCCTATCCAGAAGAGCAGCCAGCTGGGTCACTGAGCAAGAGACAGAAATGTCAGAATCCAACATGTCCTTAAGTACACCTCGGGCTTTCATCCTCACCCCACTAATGTTTGGTCACAAGGTGGCACTGAGAAAAGCCACAGCTGGGACCCTGGCTAGGAGGGCCTGAACATGCTCAGGAGGTAGAGGATATGGCCTGAATACTGCTCACACCACCAAGGCCAGCAGGACGAAGATAGAGTGGCATCAGGAGCCTTGTCCTCCCACATATGGTTTCTATCCTGCATGGCGGGAGGGGACAGCAGAGGGTGCCCACACAGCAGTCAGAGAGGAACAGAGAGAGCAGCGAGGCCACTCTCCCTACCAGCCCCAACCAGTCCCCACAGAAGCGCTGCTGACGCTGCTGCTGCTCCCTCAGCTCCCTCGCACCTGGTCCCTCCAGCTCGTGCATCTCCCATGAACATTCAGGAACACAGGCTTGTCCTGAGCTTCAGAGCCAGCCTAGGACAGCTGACACAACTCCTCCAGTGGTGTCCAGAGCACAGCAGCTGAAAGCCCTGGGGCTTCATTGTCAGGAACCTGCAGTGACACAAGTCCAAGGGCTGGTCAGAAAGTGGCCACAGGTGAAGGCCAGGACTCCTGGTTCCATCACCAGGCATGCCCCACACACCTCTACTGCCACAGACAGTGTCCAACTGCCCTGGCCTGGCTGTGCCTTTTCTCTCACTCCAGAGGACACCATGTCTATCTTGTCAAATAAACGTCTCCATAGGGCCAAGCACTGCAGACATGGTGGGGGAGATGCATTCAGAGCCTCAGAGGTTGTGTGGGGAGGGAGCAGCATGCGTGGAAACGAGCCTGTAACGAGTTTGTAATATGCATGTGTGGCACGGCCTGCGCAGCGTCATCACAATGGCACAGGCACTTTCCCGCCTCATTGCCTCCCAAATGGATTTTAAATATCATTCCGAGGACACAATTATTTAAAACGCTGAACTAAACACTCACTAATGGGAAAACGGCGTGTGGCCTGCAGCAGCCATTCCTCATGGGGCCACTCTGCCCATGTCATCCTCTTCTCCAGCCCCACACCCTGAGTGGGGCCACATGGAAGCATCCTCCTCCTCTTCCTTGGAGGCCAAACCACTGGTACCTGCCTTAAGCCCAGGCTGATGCATATTGTTTATGTGAGAACACACCTTTTGTCCCCATCCCAGTGACCTCCACCCTCAGAGCAGCTCCCAGGCACCAGGGGCACTGCGAGCCAGCCCCCACGTAGCACCTCACCAGACAGAAGGTCTTTCTGCCTCTCCCCAGTTTGGCATCAGGTAATGCAGGGCTACACAGGGAGAGGACAAGGATGAGACCAAGGATAACTCCTGACCCCCTTTGTATGGCCCTGGAAGTTATGATTACAATATAAGATTTACTTTTTCACTTAGTCTGAATACCTCCCATACCCCCAAGCACAATCCTGAGCAGGGGAGAGGAAGAAAGTAGCATTATTGTTGGTTACATTCAAGAATCCAGAGCACACAGAGCATGAAAAGAGAGAAAAAAAACAAGGAAACAAACTATTTGTAGCAACCCTTGCTGGGGAGAGCAAAGATAGAGACAGCTCCGAGGATGCCATGGACACTTGGTCCCATTACATCACTGGCAATATCAGTGATGACAGAGTTTCAAACAACAGTGCATCTGCTGATGGGGAGTGCCTGCCTGACCTTTGATCATCTGCTCTCTCCTTTCCTCTACACAGGGATTCTAAGGCCACCACAAGGTGCCAGCACTCAGAGACAACAGCCAACCTCAGATTAAACGGAGAAGGGAAGTGACACAGCCCAGCACCATCCCCACACAATAGCAGTTGAGCACAGAGAGGATGAGAGTCCATCTCTGGAACCCCGGCTGTACATCACAAGTTCATATTTTAACAGCTTTGGCATCACCAGGGCTATCCATCACCAGCTCATTTTCCTCCATGTGCTGAACTGCTCCTGCCTCTATTTGGAACAGTGTCTAATGAGGCACCGGAGCAGCCACCTGGCAACACGGCTGCTAAGGGACACAACATGGGAAGAAGAATACACACAGGTCTGCACGCTGCTGCCAGCCTCCACTGCCCAAGAAGCTCCCTCCCCTCAAACCTGCTCCACTCATAACAGACCTCAGGGATGCTCTGCTCCTGGTTCTCCTCCATGTGAGTGGAAGAGCACACTCTTAAACCATTGCTCTCACAGACAGGAAAACAGAACACAGGCATTGGTAATATTTTCACGAATGCTCATTAAGCACTACAGTGCTCTTTTTGAGAGGTTGAAGAAAGGACAAAGAAAAAAATAAAATGTTTCTAGCCCACAGGCATGCATAGCTTAAGACAGAACATAGGTGTGGGGCCAGGGACATGCAAAACAATAGTGCTGCAGCACTAAAAACTTGCTGTGAGACTTGTGAAGACACAGGCAGACCTGGACAAAGACTCACATGGAGCAAGGACAAGACATTTTGGAAGAGAGCCTGCACAGGCTCCAACTTTTGTTTTTTGTGTAACCTGAGTGCTTCTGAGTTGTTCTCACAGTGACCCTGTGACTCCCTACTGGGCAGCAGAGCCTAAAAGCAACTTTGCCCAGATCTCACTGGAGTTGCAAGCCCAGCCTGAAAGCAGCTGAGTTGAGGCATGGTCCTCACCAAAGCTCATCAGCTAAACACGGGGCGAACCCTCAGGAAAAGGCAACCCTGTATGACATCCTGTGCAGGCATCCTGGGAAAGCTCCAGCGGGACTTGCTTTGGGGAAACGAGCAGCAGGATCCTTGCACAGCAAGAGATGAACCCACTCCCCATAGGGGAAATATGAAAGGGACAATGTCGGCTGGTTCAGTGCACAACTCCCTTGTTCCGAGAGAAACCTCCTCCTTCTGCCCCTCAGTCCTAGTGCATCTGCATTACCTGTGACATCTCTGGGGAAAGGCGGGGACCTAGTGAGAGGGATGTGAGGCCAGTCTCCAACTGCGTTCTTCAAGTCTTTTTTGGGGGTGGGGAAATGGGAGGGTGCGACACAAAGCAGGACGCAAAAGTGGAGTATTGGAGAATCAAGCACCTACACCTTTAAATCCTTTCTCCTGTGGGGCTCGGCCGGTGCTCGATGCTCCATCAGACACCTGCAGGAGACAGCCACTCACCTGATCATCAGTCAGCACCTTATCCACACAGCCAGCCCGGTACCTGCCGGGAGAGCCGGGTACCGGGGGAGGAAGCTGCACGGTCTCCAGGCAGCTGCTCCGAGCCGGTTCCCCGGGGCTCCTGCTCATGCCGCAGAACTGGATCTGAGCTCAGGCAGTCAGAGGGACCCATCTCCAGGGCAGGAGGAGAACTGCAGCTCCAGGCTGCTCCTCAGCATTTCCCACCCCTCGGAGAGCACGGCTGCACACCCCGCAGCTCCGAGAGCTGCTGGAAAGGGGACTAAGATGCAGTGAACGAGTAAAAAGTTAGGAATGTTTCTCCATTGCCTCCTCAAAGATAAAGGTTTTTAAGTTAAAGTTTCGAGCTCCCTCCAACAACGAACAGAAACTGCTTTATTTTAGAAAATGAGTCGGCCTCTTTGAAGGTCATTGAAAGAGCTTGGGGGTGATACATCAGGCAACCAAGTAATAAACGCTTCATCCTTCAGGCAAATTTCGGCAGGCACTAAGGAACAGCGAATGAAGTTTAAGCGAGCAAGGATGAAGATCTCCACACACCTGCTGGTGCCAGGAGGTGGCTGTAATGTTGTCACTTTCAACTCGCACTGTAAGCAAGTACCTAACAAGGGCTGCAAAATCTACAAAGTGTCAAAGTCTTTCCTGGCTGCTCCTATGAGGCTTTTCGTGCTCCCACCACCCCGCTGGCCTGGCTGCCATGGCACTGCTCCCTCTCTGGATTGCTTGCCAGCTCTCAGAGGGACTTCACCAGGGAAAGACCCTTCACACCCAGCATAGATCTCCCCCATTGCACTCTGTAAGCCAGCTCTGACCCATGGTGGTGCTCACCCCTTTCCTGGGCTTTTCATAATTATTCTTGGCATTTTCCTTATTTTCTATTTCCTTTGCTTTTCTCCTTTATAAAGGGGGAAGGAAATCACTCTGTATTCCACCATCTACCCTCATTTATGTTTCAATCTCACTTTCAAATATGTTTAGAACCTAGTTCTTTTCCACAATTATGGATTAAGGCAAAACATGCCTCTCCTCATCTTAGGTCAGAACACAAGCGCAGATAAACGGCCTGGCGAGCAATAGAACAGATTCAGCAAGGAGACGACTCCCACTCTTTGGCTGGACTCCCCCAGGCCTGCCTCCAACCCAAGCATGCAGCTGGGGATCCCTGCAGCTGCTCTGCCTCTAGTACCAGCCACACAGCCTCTCCTCTCAGCACAGCCACCACAACAGCTAGAGGGAGGAAAAGAAGTGCAGCCCACACCTCTGCTCAGGGCCAGTTCTGGCTTGCAGGCCAGACACAAGGAAGAGATCACTCTCCAATGCCCTCCTACAGTCGAAAGGAAACAGACCACCCAGTACAGCCCCTTCGCTCCCTCCCCCAGCCAGTCCCACCTCTGTAGGAGCAGGGATGGAGCTGAAGGCACAATGCTCAAGGCTGCTGCCTCCTGTACTCTCCCTAGAAGCATCACATACATCTTGTCTGGCCCACTGTGGAGCCAGGCTGACCCCCATCAGAGATCAGCGTCTGTCACAGCTCCATAGCTCACGAGACTCAGTAGCACCTCACAAGCTGGTGAAATCCAGGATTTCCCCATTTACTGTCACCTTGGAACTTAACACAGTGCTGGTTCCTCCTGATACTGGCTGTGAAGATGCTAGAACCAGGCATCCAGTCCCAGTGTGAGGCTGGCAAAAGGCACTGGAACAGGTTGTCCTGAGAAGTTATGGATGCCCAGGCATTCAAGGTCCGGTTGGACAGAGCTTGGAGCAGCCAGGTCTAGTGGAAGGTGTTTCTGCCTGTGACAGGGAGGTGGGTTTGGATGGGCTTTATGTCCCTTTCAGCTGAAACTGTTCTGTGATCTCCACCCAGAACATGGACCGCATTTGCTTCACTCCACCACAGACCCTCTGCGCAGGGATCCAGGACAGCCCCACACATCCCAAGACGCTGCTGTGCTTACAGGGCAGCCGAACCATCCACACAGGGCCATGGCCCTCGGCACAACACTCAGCCCTGTAGGCTGCCCAGGCTTCACATGGACAGACTGAACTTGCTCATGTTCCCTTCAGGGCCCTGGATCCCTCCTGTGAGAAGCACCTGGGGATACAAGGAAAGGCAGTGAGGGCCAGTCATTAATATGATGGCCCAAGGCAGAACATACAACACCCAGTCCTAGCCCCATTTAGAGCCCTGCAAGATAAAGCTCTCTTTAAAGACTCTGGAAACAAGTAGAGATGATGGCCATATGTATAGAAAGAAAACCATTTGGTTTTCCTGGCAGTGAAGCTCATTTTGCTTCAGTTCTACCTCTCCCAGAAAAGGAGAAAGTTTTCACCAGATGAAAAAACAAAAAATCCCAAACCAAACAAGAAAACCAAAACAAAAACAGCTAACAAAGGAAAAACCCTCATTCCCACAGCCCACCAGAAAAAAACAAACACCAAACCAATCAAAGAACAACAGCTTTGAAAATAGTTTATAAACATTTTAGAAAAACCCTTTACCCAGTGCTAGCTTCATCCTATTGATCCAAGGAGATTTAGCATCTCCTCTGACCAGCATAAACTGATAACTTGGGCAGAAAGACCCACCACAGTTAGGAAGCAGTTGAAAAACAGCAGGAAAGTCAAAGGTAGCAGAAGTTTTTAGCAGTCAAGAATCTGAAAGCCATAGTTTGGAGAACTTCAGAGAACCCAATATGCTTCCCATAATAACCTCAGCTTTCCCCAGGCATGCCCTGTGGTCCCTGCTTCTAGTTGCATGTGGTGGTTTTCAAACAGCAGGTGTTCTTCCAGCCCTACCAAACAATCCCCATGGCCACAGTTTAAACTGCCTCACAATTTGTGATACAAAGATTAAAGACACGTTCTGCATTTCTATGCATTTTTTATTTGCAGGCAGGGAACAGGAGATTTTGCTTTTTCTGTTGAGTAGGACCAAATACCAACTCCTGTAGGAGAAGGAGCTGGCCCTGGGCTGGTTTCCCTGGGGCCCTGTTGGTCACTTGCTGCTGGTGTACTTGCTGACGGCCTTGGTGCCCTCGGAGACGGCGTGCTTGGCCAGCTCGCCGGGCAGCAGGAGCCTGACTGCCGTCTGCACCTCCCGGCTGGTGATGGTGGCACGGTGGCTGTACTGGGCCAGGCGTGAGGCCTCCAAGGCCAGGTGCTCAAACATGTCATTGACAAAGGAGTTCATGATGCTCATGGCCTTGGAGGAGATGGCAAGGTCAGGGTGCACCTGCCAGATGGTAACCAAACGTTGTCTCAATCTCACATATTCATCACCCTGTAAGGAATGGGAGACCCATTCCCCATCCCAGACAGGGCACTCTAACTCCAAAAGTACCTGTAACTGCCACCCTTTAAGGGTTTCAAATCATGGGCCACTTTAAACTCAGGACAGGCTCCCATAATGCTACAGGAGCTTTGACATCACACTGGCAGAAGCCTCCCCACAATGCCCATGAAAAACGTGGCTGGGAGGGGTGGAAATCAGTCTCCAAGTCCTAGCTACAGGCTAGTGCTGACAACTGTGGCCTAGAAAACACATGGACACTTCCAAAAATACTCTCACCTCCTCATCAAAAATCACCAGACACCTACTCACAGGGCCAGAAGCAGCTGTTTCTACTATACTGACTTCCATGAAATTATTTCTTCAGTCAGAGCTAAGCACCAGAGCATGTTCCCTCCAGGTAATATTTTCTACTCTAGATCCATCTCTACTACCACTACAGTCCACCCCCTCAACTTCTAAGCTTCAGCTGAGGTTCTCCTGTACCCACACTTAGACTTCATTTCTTTCCCCATCTCTCTAGAAACTCAGATTTTTCTTCCTTACTCTTTATGGTGTTAAGACACAACAGGTGAAAAGTTCCATTATATACAAAGCAGCTTCTAGCAGAAAAGAAACATTTACTCACCTGCTTCAGTACTTTGTAAATGTAGACTGAAAACACTTCCTTTCTCTTAGGCTTCCTCTTAGATCTTTTTTCCCCAGAAGCAGCAGGATCACCATCTCTCTTCAGAAGTTCTGAGCTCATCCTAACCTCCAACAGAGCAACCAGCAAGTGCTGTGGGGCTGTTTATATAGCACAGGCAGCAGAACCCAACCTGCCTCAGTTGTGGTCCCCAAGGAGCAGGACAAGTACACACCTGTGGCTGATTGTTCCACTTTGCACTAAACGAAAAGCAGCTGGCCTGAGAGGAGCTTGGAAGTGACAGATGCAGCTAAACTTTCAGACCTGAGAAGTTTGAGTGTAACCTGGGCAAAGAAGGGCAAGAGCAAAAGCATCTGATTTACAGGGGACTGAATTACCAGAGAAGAGCCATTCCTGAGTCCAAAAGGGGTTTGGTGAAGGGAAGGATCTTTCTTTGGTGGAAGGCTGTGGACTGGAGTACTCTAGGTACTCCAGAATCAAATGGAGTCACATCTGTGCTATGGAACAGGTAATACCACCAGAGGAAACCCAGTAACTGTAGGAAGCATTGGTCCAGAGATGAAACAATGGCATCTGTAAGCACTGTAAACAAAACCCTACCAGCCAAACTTCCCCTGCTACTCAGTCTGCTCTTGGGATCCCACCTGCTGCATGCAACAGAGCCTAGAATGTCAGGGGGCACGCAGTGGAGGGCTGACACACAAAGTGTGGATTTGATCTGTCTTGGAAACCATTGATTACACTAATGGGGGTAAATGTGACACAGGATTTAGGCTTAGCCAGGAAAAACATGGAGCAACACATCAGAGATGTGAACAGAAGTTTTCTGTGCTTTGGAGAGAAAAGGAAGTCTTTCAGTGGACACCACTACAGCCATTTCATAGAAGGGGACGCCAGTATGCTTGTTTGGTGGTGGAACACACTTGGGTCTCTGTGCTCCCACGTGGAGTCTCCTGCTCAGGTACACACATCGTACTGGCACACCCTGAGCAAATCATATCTTCCAAAGAGTGAGCTTGGGAGACCTACTCATCAGTCAGTGATTCTGCTACTGCTTGTGCAGCCCACAGCGTTTCGCTGAATTGTTTTATTCTCAGCCTGTGCTCATGGGGAGGCACCTGATCACCCTCCCCTACTGCAAACAATTGTCACAGTGGCAAGGGGGGCCAGTGACACAGCGAGATTCTTGCTCCCAGAAACTGAAACATTAATGATCAGGCAGTACAGGCTGGAATGGCCAGGTCAGTGTATTTGTGAAGGAGAATGGGCTTGTGAAGCTATGTGGTAGTGGCATTTTCTTGAAACAGGAGTGACTAATACTGGGAGTGAGTAGCAGGGGATAACACCACTTGTGCTTTGTAAGGGGCCGTGTGTTGTCTAGGAACAGTACAGGGAACAGTACAGTCCCTCCCCCTCTGAGGGACATTCCACCACCCTCCTTGTAATGGGAGATGTGTTATCTTGGTCCCAGGTCCCAGCACCCAGGCAGGGACTCTTGTGCTGAAGGAGCTGGGGGCTGTTGTGTCCTGCCCCCGCTGCCACCCTGTTTGTGATACACAGCTTTACACAGTGATAAACACACAGCTGTCTTTTCTAAAAAAAAACTATTTAGCTGGAAGGGAGCCCACTGGTGAAGGAGCAGCAACTGGTCACTCAGCATTAGACACAGGGAGCCTTTAGGCACCAAGGGTGGAAGCTCGTCCACTGAACAGTACAGTCAGCTTTGAACTCTCAGGTTTGGAGAATTACCATCTGCTTCCCTGGTCTGCATGTGCTAGAGGCTGTACACGCTGCTGTGTGCTGGGCCTGACTTATCCTGCTGCTGGCTTGTGGTGTATGGATCTACTTGCAGCACACACACAAGGGGAATTCCACAAGCCTGCACCTGCCACTTCTGGTTGTGGCTGTGTTAGAGCCAACTTTCCTTTTGGATAACAGGCAAGTATGACTGTGCAGGTGCTGGGTCACTTCTTTTACAGAAATTACCATCCCAGCAACTAAGGAGCAATTCTTGTAATTTATTGATAGTTTTGCTTTTCTGCAAAACCAGAAAATTCTCAGCTGAAAGCCCCAGCTTGTGGCTGTCCCTGAGATCAGTGATCCAGGACATCTGTCTGCCACAGCTGCTTCAGCACAGCCCAACAAACTGTCACCACAGAACAAATCGAGGTTAAATCAAGGCTGATAAAGCACATTTATAGATTCCATTTCACAAATCCTCACCCACTGTGACCCCTAGTGCAGCTACAGCTGCTTTTGCTTTAAACATGTATTTGTGGTTCTTGTTCATACATCAGAGACGTGGCTGCATCTGAAAAGTTCCTCTCTGCAGCAGCAGAAAGGTAACAGTGCTCTTCTTGGCTCCATGAGCTACACCACCACTCCAACTACTGCCCATTGTGCTGGTTCTCATCCCAGTGTCCACAGGCCATTCTCAGGATTTACCATTCCCAAAGAACTCAGTGTAAGATTGCATCCTGTGTTTATTACCCCCGTATCTGTAATGTAGTGAAAACGGATTGTTGCCAAATCTTTGCTAAGGAAGAGGCATAGGACAGATAGCTCTTGCTTCAGTCAGGACTCTGACCCCACCATTCTGAGCTACTTCACCTTTTCCAACTCACCAACACTACTTCCTACAACCTAGATCAAACAGACGTGTGTTCATCTATTATTGTTTAACTTGTGACCCATCAGTCTTCCACGTTATCACTTTCCTGTCAGTTTTCACTCCCTTGCTCTACCTGATAACTTCCAAGTCCTCCACTGTGAGATATTCATCCAAGTGGCATTTACTGCCATCTACACCTTTCTTGCAGAACTAGCTTGGAAGCACTTATACTAATTGCATTATTTCCCCAGAAAACATATTATTTTTCTCCTCTCAGATCATTGCTAGAATCAGTGACAAACCTGAAGGTTGTACTTGATGTACTGGAAGCAGCTTGTGTTGTGACATTTGTCCTATGGATGACACTCAGTGCTTCCACAGCAGCAGTCACAACTTGGATGGGCCCTTTGGGAAAGGAAAAGAAGGAAATACTCCTCAAAAAGTCAGCCAGTGAGTTGGCAACAAAGAATGCACTGCATGGGAGCACAAGTCATTTGTTTGTTCTGTCCTCCCATTCACCCAGCAACTTGTGCTGCTGGATGGGCTGCTGGGCTACATGAACCTTTCCTGTGACCAGTGCTGCCACTCTCATGTGTCAGAAGTCATTAAAATGGTGACTCATGATCAAAAAACGCTATTAAGTTCCATTTGCTACCTACCTTTCTCTTTAGTATAGTAAATTAAACATGTATTTTATTCAAGTTTCTGTGGCTCAGGGTGAGGTTTGAACACCAACTTTTCCAAAAATCTGTTACTGAGAACAAAAATAAAAGAAACTTCAGTTGATTAGTCTTTAGCTAAACCTGCAAGGAACAAGGAACTAATTCATAGTCCAAAATTCCTACATTATTGAGTCTCATTAGACAAATCAAGGTGAAGCAAAATGCCACACCTGAGCCACTGTGTTGGTGAGAACACACACTGGTGTTCCATAGATGTATGTTCTGTCTCTAACACTGATCTTCAGAACACTTTAAAGTTGTGTCTGTCACTGCCTACAACAGAAGCATTTGTGGCTTTTTCTGTGACTCACTGGAAATGCAGTGGTCAGTCTGGCTCAGCAGAGGTGCCCCAGGTGTGAGGACCCTGCTCACTGCCTCCACAGCTCAGTACTCACCACTTCACAGCTCTTAGATTCCAGCCACAGCTTTGGTTGTACTGAGGAACTGCGCATTTAGCAGGAAGGGCTGATCTCACTCAAAGCTCAGCACAACTACCATGGCTCACAAACAAGACAAGATTGTTTTTCTCTCTTTATTGACTGATGGATTCTCGGGCAGATCTGTTAATTACACTGTTAAATAATAGTTAAAAACAAACCAAGGCCAGAGGAGTTTGAAGTGAAGAATCTAAACTGAAGCAGAAATTGGGAAGGAAAAGGCAGGAGAAGCTGGGCTGGGGTTTCCACTTGTGTATCACTGCAGCTTGGACACCCCGACGGCCACCGTTGTGACCCCAAGCCAATAGATTCCAAGGCCTGGCTCAGATGGGACATTGTCTAAATAAGGGAAGAGTTGCCCAAACGTAGCCAGATCAGGAGAGAACAGCTCTGTCCAGACATAGAGGTGCAAGGCAAGTCGAAGGGAAGCAGTATTGCAGCAATCCTAGAACACAGCCAGAGGGAGCAGCAGTTCCCCTCCTGCTAGCGGGCAGGCGAGTCGCGTGGCCACCGCCAGCCCCACGGAGAACGGGCTGGAGGCTCTCAGCTCACACGTTGTGGGTCCGTTTGGTGAGCTGTGGGTCCTCATCCACCAGCTTCGACTTGAGATGCTCCTTGTAGGCAAGGATGTCCCCTTGCCACTTGGTGATTGTCTGCTTCTCACAGACCCAGATCTCCTGTGCCACCTGAGAGCAAACACACAAGGAGGAAAAGGAGGCAGACAAGGAGGAGAGAGGTCTGCAGTACAAAATTTTATAATCTTACCAAAATTATAAAGTTAACTAAAAACTACTATCTGAAATAGAAGATCTGGCAAGAAAAGTTTGATAACATTTAGACTACCAGATAGATACTAGACAAGTATCTAGAGGGGAACATTTTCCCTGGTGTTTTCTGCATAATTTATACAAGATTTTTAGAACTGAAAATCCTAGGCCCCTCTGTACTTCTGATTTTGTTCATGGACTAAGATGAAAAGACTTTCTTGCTAAATTGGTAATTGAAACAAAAGTAGTTCTTGACCTGAACTACTTGTATCTATCGCAGTGAAAAATAAAATCATACCTGAACTTGCAGGCAAAGCTATAGCTGATAGATCAACACTTGATATTTGTGGTGGTTTTTATTTTATTTTAAGTAGCTAAAGTTTTCCTGGGCCACCTCAGTAATTGTTTAACACAGAAAGGGAATTATGATTCTTTTTTTTCACTCACCCATCTTTCTGGCACAAGTAAGAGCCAGTCAGTTGAAAACACCTTGTTTTAATTACTAAAATGTTAAAAAGGTGCTCTGATAAAACTCACAGCTGTCCTTACCTGCTGGATGAGTCTGAAGTCATGGCTGACAAGCATCATTCCTCCTTCAAACTCATTGATAGCATCTGCCAGTGCATCTATGGTTTCTATGTCCAGGTGGTTGGT